CTTGTGTTATCTCAGTGTTGCTGCTGCAGAGAAGTGACAATGCTTGCTTGTGTAAATTTATGGCTTACTGTCAAAGCTTCATTCTTGGCTGCATGTTGAAAATGTGATTAAAGTTAATAGAGGAGATGAAATAAGTATTTGAGATTTCTTTCAATAACACTGAACTTCGGCCAACTTTCTCTGTCCGCTACTGTAGGCTTGACAGGTTCATCAATCATTCTCTGGTACCTGGACTAAAAAGAGCACTTGCTGACACTAAGGCATGTTGGAATTTTCTTAATTCTCTTTCAGTGGATGGAAAAAAATAAAACCATCCTTCCAAAAATAGCCCACACATGAAAAGGGAGGGGAACCTTAAATGAAAATTCCCTTTGTACTGTAGGCAGTTTTTGGAATGCTATTAATTGCCAACGCACCATTTGAACAGATGCCGTAACCAAGAAATCAGGACTGTGTGTGTGAGAGCAAACGTGCTCTTAATGTGGCTGCTCCAGTTGCACAGCAAAGGTTTCTGATAGTGTCTGCTCCTCTCATATGATAATAAATACTGTCTAAGTGTGTATATTTTATACAAGGATCTAAAGGACTTCTTAAACCCAAATGAGTTGGTAAGCTCTTTGAACTGTAAACATGAAGATAGTAAATTCTCTTTGTAACTCTGTTAGCTAGTCAACATGGTGTGCGAAAAAGACAGTTGGTTTGCCTTCCCCTTAGTATTTTCACTTATATTTCACAGTTTCCAAATCACTTTTGACAGATATTTTATTTACATTTAAAATTAGTAATTACATAATTTACAACATTTCTGTTTATGCTGTTGAGCAGAGATGAAATGAGTTCTATGTAGCTCACAGGATTATTTTATAATGATCAAGTGAAGTAACATTCTGCCCTTTTAAAGTATTATAAAAGTATTTGTTTTTAAGGTCTAAGTATTTTCTATTTTTCATTATGATTTCTATTTTGACTTACGTATTTGGATGTTTTTTCATTTCTTAACCTGTAGATTTTTAAATTGTTCTTGTTGGTTGATGCTTTAATTGGCTTGTGGTTAGAGACTTTGTTATATTGATATATTGAAATTTGTTATTTGCCTTATGACCTAAAATATTTTTAGTTTCTGTGTTTCATTAGCACTTGAACATGCTGTTTTCTAGTTCTTGGGTATCCACTAGACCAAACTTACTGCGTTGTTCAGATGATCTCTGTTTTACTGTTGTTTTTCTTCTATGTAATCCCTCAGATTCTGAGATACTTTGAAATTTCATACTCTGGTGAGTTTTCTGATTCTTCCTATAATTCTGTCAGTTTTTGTTTTCTATATTTTGAAGCTTTGTTGTTAGGTACATACAACTTTGGAATTTTTTGTCTTCCAAGCTCAGAATTGATTCTTGTTGTCATAGCCTCTATTTCTAGAAATGTTTTTATTTCATTTTTTTATTGCTTTTAATCATGTGGGGTTTTTTAAAAATTTATATAGGCTGCACACATCAGCTGGTTAGTATTTGTAACTTAAAAATTATAACTGGATTTTTTTCTTTCTAATCCATTTAAATTTGGATTAAACTATTAATGTATTAGGATTCATTTATATCATCTTTCGTGCTTTTTGTCCTACCTTTTCTGTTTCCTCACTGCCCTTTTTTTTTTCGTTCTTATAGATTAATTTTTTTGTTTTCCTGTTTATTCTCCCTCTACTAGTTCTGAAGGTAAAAATTTAGTGCTTACCAAAAAAATGTAATTTGCATAGTTAACAAATTCTAAAGTCAGTATCCTTACTGTCTTCCTAAACGCCAGAAACTGTTGAACAAAGTTTGATTCCTCAATCAACTAAATTTAACTCAACTAAAATTAGAATTTTAAATCAAGTAAAATTAGAATTTTACTTTATCTCAGTTTAACTCCCAAAATAGCTATATGTATACAGTCAGTGTTTGTTTAGACTTACCCACAGTTTATCATTTTACTATCCTTGAAAGATAGCTGACTCTATAATTCTAGATTGATAGATCGATGGTTATTTTCTCTCAGTATTTAGTGATATTCTTTCCTTGTCTTCTTGCTTCCATTATTGCTTCTGAAATCATGTCGTAGTCTGACCAGTATTCCTTTGAAGCTAATCTGTCTCTTCTCTCACATTGCTTACAGTTTTTATCTTTGGTGTTTTCTTTTTTTAATTTAATTTTATTTTTATTTTCAGTGTTCCAAAATTCATTGTTTATGCACCACACCCAGTGCTCCATGCAATAAGTGCCCTCCATAATACCCACCACCAGGCTCACCCAACCCAATTAAAGTCATTGTAATACAATGTGTCTAGGTGTGTATTTCTTTTTGTTTTGTTTTAATTCCAGTATTTTTTGTTTTGTTAAATTTCTTTTTATTATCCTGTACACATTCATTGAGCTTCCTAAACCTGAAAATTAGTGCTTTTCATAAATTCTGGAAAATTTTCCATCATTATGTCTTTTAAATATTGCGTATTGCTCATTCTCTCTGTTCTTTCCTTTGGGAAATCATCACACTCTGTTCTTTGTATCACTTTGGTTCATATTTTCTGTCTCTTCTTCAGTGTGTTGAATTCTGGATGGTTTCTTTAAATCTGTTTTTCTGCTCCCTAATTCTTGTGTTCTCACCATCTCTAATCTATTTATAACCTATAGAGTTTTTTTTTAAATAACCTATTGAGTTTTTAATTAGTCTTTTTTTTTTTTTCCATTTCCAAAGTATTGTATGTTTCTTTCTCAAACATTCGTGGTCATTTGTTATAGCTACATTGTTTCCTCTTTTTCTTATCTTAAAACATATTAAATGTATTTACATACTATATATATGTAAATATATATATTTACATACTACACTATATAACTGTATTTACATACTATATATATATATATATATAATTTTGTATTTTTCTCCTTTTTTGTGGCTCTAAATCTACAATTTGTTGTAGTGTTGTCTGAAACAAGTATAGTGATTTGTTTTCTAGTAAAATCAGTGATTTGGGTTGACTTGGTATTCTTCTAAACTTTACTTTGGGGAATTTTTATTTAAATTATGTTCCCATAGAGAACATACTGTTTTTTGTATTTTTTTCTTGAATTATCAGTTCGTTCGTTGGGGCATGACCAAGCTTGGATCACTTCCGTTTTCATCTTGGGTTTCCTTCCTCTGTCTCACCTGCCCTTCGGTGCGTGAATGCACACGTGCACATACATTTACTCACAAGTAGTGGGACCTTCATCCCCAAGCGTACGCAAGCGTCCGCATTCCTAGAAGAGGCCTTTTTTCCCTGCACGGATCTACTTGGAGTAAAGAAGGGCACGTTGAGGCCCTTCTAGTGTCCTCACTGAGAGCGCTGCCCTCAGGGCTCGTCAGTCCTGCTGCTCATCCCGCCGAGTCCCTGTTATGAACTGAATTGTGTCCCGCCAAATGACTATGTTGAAGCCCAACCCCCCAGTGTGATTGTATTCGGAGATAGCACCTTTGACAAGGTAATTAAGGTTAAATGAAGTGCGGCCCGAACCCCATAACACGCTACCCTTATAGAAAGAGGAAGAGGCAACAGAGTACCCTCTCTCCACTTGCACACACAGAAAAGTTCATGTGAGGACACAGCAAGAATTGGCCTTCCGCGAGCCTCACCAGAAATTGGATTTTCGGGCATTGTGATTGTGGACTCACTGCCTCCAGAGCTGTGAGATACCAGATCTCTTTTCAGCTGCCCCATCTGTAGTATTTTGTTATGGCAGTCAGGGGAGACTAATGCACAAGTCTCAAACTGGGTAACTCCTGTCCCCTGTGTAGATGTGGCTCCTTAAAGCTGGGGCCCTTCTAGGCTACAGGGATGGGGAAATGTCTTTAGGGCAGTTAACCAGTTCCCAGTCTAAATTTTGGAATGGAATTTCACTCTTTCCTATCTGCCTTCAGTTGTTGCCATTTATTTACATTGCAATGAAAAAAAAAAAAAGTTAAATTTTTTCCCCAGTGTTTTTGATATTCAGTAGCGAGTGAGATTTCTCTGTACAGAAATAGCATAACTTTTTTTTTAAGATTTTATGTATTTATTTGACAGAGAGACACAGAGAGAGGGAACACAAGCAGGGAGAGTGGGAGAGGGAGAAGCGGGCTTCCTGCGGAGCAGAGAGCCCGATGTGGGGCTCGATCCCAGGACGCTGGGATCATGACCTGAGCCGAAGGCAAAGGCTTAATGACCGAGCCACCCAGGCACCCCCAGAAATAGCATGTTAGACAAATATGCGTTGATTTTACTATATTAAAATTCACCTCCAAAAGAAATGTCTGTATTCTGGTATAAAAAGTGATACCTTTTGTTTTAATTGTTGTGGCAAATATTGTCCATTTGATTATTTATTATCTGTGAACTAATTTGATTATTCTGATGGATTCTTAATTTTTACTGGTTGTGAGCTACTGAAGACAAATAATATAGTAGTCTTGTTCTGAACCTATATCACTTTTATTTGAATACTTCATTTTGGATTCTTTTCTTTTTAGGACATACTGTGGTTTGTGAATATGTAAATATTATGGATATATAGATAGAGGTACTAGATCTGTGGTGTTAAACCAGAAATGCCATGAAAACCTGGAGGAGTCACAAATGCCTCCCAGATACATCGTAGGTTCTCTTCTTGGCTCCCACAACACATAGGCTTTCCATCTGAACACTTCCATTCACTTTATGAACTGTTTCTTGCCATGCATGTATTTTGATGTATTAGGTTCTGGTTGCCATTACAAATTAAAAGTGGAGGGTTTTATTGCTTTGGAATTTAGCATAATGACTGCTTCTCCTGAAACTGTACCCTAGAGGCTCTTTTCTTTGCCATTTGGTGCTGTAAGTCTGTATGTCAGGATGAACAATACCAGAAAAATATTTTAAACATTCTTTTAGTTAAAATATTTGAATCTACCATTATAGAAAATATATTTTCTAGTATTTTGTTCTTAGCCCTTCAGAAAAGTTTTATAATCATTTCATTAATTTTCAACTCCAATAAATACGGATCTTAATATTTTATTGACTTACGTGCGACTCAAGGTCACAGAATGATTGGAAGGTCAAAATCAGTCGTATCACAGCCTTCTCTTCCTTTCTCTCATTTTTAAAATTTAACTGCTAAAAACAGTGCTCTCTTGTGATTGATCTGGCAAAATTAACAAACAGCAGTATTTCCTTTGATATTTTCATATTTATGTTCTGTAAAAAAAAAAGAAACTGACATTTTCACAGCTGGTGTACCGCACAGAACAATAAATTAATAAGCACACTAACATCCAATCCTCACAAAAATTCAAGATTCTAATGATCTCTGCAGAAATAATCAAAATTTATTTAAGGTAAGTAATCAATACTCACATTTGTCTAACACAGCCTATAGCTTACAGTTTACATTGTAATTTCAAGTGCCTTATATGTAATTTTATCTTACTTCATCCTTGTAACAAAGCCTTATGCACTTTGTTCTTTGGAAAAAAAAGTAGAGTGATAGAAATACAAGGAATATAGTGTTTTGTTCACCTAACATTGAACCAGCCACATTAGCTAGATAATTCTTTTATCTTTTTGAAAAAAAATTCCATAAATAATGTCATGAAAATCCACAGTGTATATGTCTCCAATTTTTATTTACCATTACGTAGTTTTTTTTTTTAAGAATGCTTTATGTACTACAAAGATTAGTAAGTCAGTATTTCAGTCCTCTAATTACTAAATTACTAATTACTGAATTACTAAAGGTATTTACTACTGTTTCAGACTGGGCCACAGGATAGAAAATAATATGAGTGTGGCCAAGGTTAAAAGGCAGATAAATGCCATTAGGGAACAGACCGCTCTATGATTTGAGGTCGCTGAGAACAGTCAACACACACACCAGGCACAAATGGCCCAGCCTTCACTTAAAGGAAAAGGAATAAAAGCCCTTTACAATGTATTTAACCCTCCTGGCCAGCAAATCGACTTCATAGTCAACATGGGCAGTACTATACTTTTTAAAAATGAAAGCAAATACAGAATATGAGGTTCCCATTATTCCTTTAGACTAAATGTTTTCCTCCCTTAAGTGTAAAAAAAGAAAATCAAGTTTGATTGAGACTGGGCAGGCCTGGAGAAGTTTAACCCTCATAGCAAATAATCACCATGTATGGGTGAAAAATTTAACTATGAAAGAAGTTACCGTTATCTGCAAATATACAGTTTTACTTATGTCATGATAAATAGAAAACCCCTGAAGATTTCACCAAAAACTGTTAGCACTAATCAACAAGTTCAATAAAGTTACAGGATGCAAAATCAACACAAAAATCAGTTGTGTTTCTATACACTAACAAAAAAGTAAGAGAAATCAGAAAGTGAAATTAAGAAAACAATCCCATTTACAATTGCCATGGAAAAGAATAAAATACCTAGGAATAAATATAACCAGATGTAAAATATTTGTACACTGAAAACTACCAGATGTTGATGAAAGAAATTGAAGAAGACATAAATAAATAGATAATCCACGCTGAAGGATTGGAAGACTTACACAATTTTTTTAAAAATGTCGGTACTACCCAAATTCAATACGATTACTACAGATTACATATGTTAGCTAGGTTGTGTTAGTCCCTAACAAAATTCCAATGGCATTTCTTCACAGAACTAGAATAATCCTAAAATTTGTATGGAACCACAAAAGACCCTGAGTAGCTAAAGCAATGTTGAGGAAGAAGAACAAGGCTAGAAGCATCACACTTCGTTATTTCAAAGTATGTTACAAAGCTATAGTAATCAAAACAGTATGGCATTGGTGTAAAAACGGACACACCAGTGGAACAGAATAGAGAGCCCAGACATAAGCCCATATGTATGTGGTCATTTAATTTATGACAAAAGAATCAGGAATATACAATGGGGAAAGAATAGTGTCTTAAGTAAATGGTGTTGGGGAAACTGGACAGCCACATGCAAAAAAGAATGAAACTAGAAAAAAAAAAAAAGAATGAAACTAGATCACTATACCATACACAAAAATTAAAATGGCTTAAAGACTTGAGTGTATGACCTGTAACCATAAAGCTCTGGAAGATGGCACAGGGGTAAGATCTTTGACTTTTTTTTTTTAATATTTTATTTATTTATTTGACAGAGATCACAAATAGGCAGAGAGGCAGGCAGAGAGAGAGGAGGAAGCAGACCCCCCACAGAGCAGGGAGCCCGATGCGGGGCTCGATCCCAGGACCCCGGGATCATGACCGGAGCCGAAGGCAGAGGCCTCAACCCACTGAGCCACCCAGGTGCCCCAAGATCTTTGACTTTTTAATTTTTATTTTTTTGTATTTGCTACCAAAGGCAAAAAGTGAAACTTTAAAAAACTTCTGTACATCAAAAAAATGAAAACTATGAAATGGGAGAAAATATTTGCAAATTGTATCTGATAAGAGGTTGATATTCAAAATATATAAAGAAGTAAAAATAGCATAAAAGCAAAAATTCAATAAAAAGTGGTCAAAGGAACTGATTAGACAACTTTTAAAACAAGTCATACAAATGGCCCACAGGTGCATAAAGAGGTGTTCAACATCTCTAATCAGAGAAATGCAGATCAAAACCACAGGGAGACATTATGTCATACCTGTTAGAGTGGCTACTATCAAAAAGACAAGAAATAACAAGTGTTGGCAAAGATACGGAGAAAAAGGAACCCTCGTACACTCATGGTGGGAATGTAAATTGGTGCAGCCACTGTGGAAAACAGTATGGAGAGGTTCCTCCAAAAATTCAAACTTGAACTAGCAGAGGATCCAGCAGTTCCACATCTGGGTATGTATATAAAAGAAACCTTATCACTATCTGGAAGAGATATCTGCACCCCTATGTTCACTGCAGTGTTTGCAACAACCAAGATGTGGAATTGACCTAAATCCATCAATGGTTGAATAGAAAAAGAAAATGTGATTATATATACACAATGAAATATTAAGCAGCCATAGAGAAGAAGGTAATCTTGTCATTTGTGAAAAGATGGATGGGCCTTAAGAGCATTATAAGTAAAATAAGTTAGAAAAAGACAAGTACTGTATGATCTCACCTTTATGTAGAATTAAAAAAAAAAAAAAATCAAACTCCCAGAAACTGAACAGATCAGTGGTTGCCAGAGGTGTGGTGGTGGGGAGTGAGTGAAATGAGCAAAGAAGGTCAAAAGGCACACACCCTCAGTTAGAAAATAAATTAGGTCATGAGATGTACAGCACTGTGACTGTAATAAACCGTACTATATTGTGAATTTGAACGTTGCTAAGAGAATAGATCTTAAAAGTTCTCATCACAAGAAAAGAATTCTGTAACTGAAGTGGTGGATGTTAACTTATTGTGACCATTTTGCAATATATACATATATCAAATCACATTGTACACCTGAAAGTAATGTAATGTTATATGTCAATTATTTCAATAAAGCTGAGAGGAAAGAGTCAATATATGAGGTTAGCTAGATTGTGTTTCAAAGTTTCTCTATTACATAGACGTAATTCTCGACTTTTATGAAACTGCTTATATTGCTAAAATTACAGTTCTACAAAGAAAATATCTTGTAAATGTTTTTAAAGTTTAAATAATGCATTCCCTTAAAATATATTTGTAGTGAATTTGAAAAGAAAGCCACAAGTCAAATCAGTTTTTTAAAAATGTCATGTAGTATGAAGGCTTAAGCAGCTTTTTTGGAAATGTACATTTTTTAAGAAAATAGTTTATAAAGCTACAGTGAAATCATTGTCACAAAATTTAAAAGATGTCCTCAATTGCATATTAAATTTCTCTTAAAAATAATTTAATAAAATGGAAAACATTAATGTTTAATTCTACTAAGCAAACTTTTGATGCTAAGGAATCTGTCCTTCACTTGGAATTTCAAATTTCTAACTAAAACCACCAGGTGTCACTGTGTAACAGATTTTCCCCCCCTCCATCTAAGAGCTCTGTGTAGATGGGTGTATACCATCTATGAACAAAGATGTATAAGAGATAATTTAAGTTACATCACTGAACAAAAATACCAGAATGTAGGAAGGTACATACAGGATTTCAGGAGGGTTAGGAGTATTTGTGAGAATTATATATTTTTTTTCCTTTCTTCTTGTCTCAGTCATACAGATTTTTTCATTATATTATTGATGTGAGAGTTTTATTAGCAGTAAAAGTATATAGTAAAAAAAAAAACCCAGGTGATATTTTGGACTTTCTACTGAAGTATAGAGTAGTACATAGATGATTATGTTGCAGCTGTGTAACCAAAACCACATCAAGAAACTGCATTCCCAGGAATGTTTTCAAGTAATTTTGAGAAGCCCTTGGTCCTTTCCTCCAAAGTAAGGCAGAGTTATAATTTCTAAATGAATGTTTAGAGACCAAAATATGTAGTTGGTAGAAAATAATAGAAATTGAAGAGCTGGTTGTCAGCGCATTTCCCCCCGCCCCCACCTGGTATGGAAGCCAAAGTAGATTTAATGCACATTTATTCACTGGAGCATTGTACAGTACCTGGGTTTTATTCCAAGAGCAATACAGTCAACATAGTACTCGGTCTTAAAGAAATTTATAATCAAGTTGTGCATATATAATGATAAAATAGAAAAACAAAGACAATAATATACCAAGGACCATAATATTAATAGATCAACGACCATTTTTTGTGTGTATATATGTATCTGTACATACACATACCATTATATACAAGCAAGTAGTTTATGATTAAAATAAGTGACTTCCAGGTAGGAACTATCTTTGCGATTTATAATCACAGAGTCATTCTGTTATTTTTTTTTAAGATTTTATTTATTTATTTGACACAGAGACAGAGATCACAAGTAGGCAGACAGGCAGGCGGGGGTGGGGGGAAGCAGGCTCCCCACTGAGCAGAGAGCCCGATGTGGGGCTCGATCCCAGGACCCTGAGATCATGACCGGAGCCGAAGGCAGAGGCTTAACTCACTGAGCCACCCAGGCACCCCAGTCATTCTATTATTAATACAGATGAAACTTGAATTGATTAGGACATAGAAAATGAATAGAATGGCAAAATATCTCTGGTTCAATTTAGTTCAGTAAACATTTATGGAGCACTTATACTCAAGCCACTCTATTCCTCTGTAGGTATCAAGGATTAAGAAGTGAATGAAGCTCGGTCTCCACCCTTGTTTACCAAAAACATAGATGGAAATATTCCTGGCAAACTGAAATGATAATTTATAGACTCTTCGATGTTGAAGGCATGGATAGGGAAGACTAGGAATTGGAATGCACACTGGTTTGAGAGCCAAAAGACAGGTTTTAGTCATGCTTCCATCACTAACTTTATACAGGGACTTAAAGACATCACTTAGAAAATTATCACATCATTTCCAATTGAGTATTTTGTGTTTATCCTATAATTAATGAGATTATTAGAGTAAGTGGCACTATAGAAGTTACTGGAAGGTTTCTCAGTAGATTCAGATGAATGAGTGATTGATAGAGAAAATTACTAACCTACTCTTGGATTTTTGAGAACGTCATTGAAAACAGCAATGCCTAGTCTAGGCAGGGTAGGGATAGAGATGATCTTGGTTTGGAATTTAAGGTAGTGGGAATTTTTAACATTTATATAGATATGTTTATGTGTTATTTATAGTATGCCAATTACTAGCACAGTTTCGGATTTAGATATTTCCTTTTCATATACATTCTTAATTGTTATCCCAAATAATCGAATTTCTGCTTTGGAGAATATCATCACCACAGTTTAGGAAAGTAAAAAAGATATTAAACGGTCTTCTCTTCACCTTTTAGATCTTTTGCTTTTATATAATTAGTGAGAAAATATGAGGGTGTTTTATTAAGCAGCTACCCCTCTTTAAGGATTTCCTGTTTCCTTTCCCAGAAGGCTAAATTGTTCAAGAATGTGTTTTATGCTGTTTTATATCCATGCAGAGAACACATACTGACTATGTATTAGACAAGGGAAACTTTGTATTACAAAGCTAGTTAAGGGTTTGGTTAAGGGAGATTGGAATTATCCTTGCCATTTGCATTTGTGTTTTGCCAGTGATTGAATATGAAGAAATACATCGGCTAGATTAATGTGTTCCATTATTTTTAGTATACACCATTGGGTTTCTGGTCTCTTGTCACCTAACTTACAATATTTGCTATATCTCTTAGGAAAGATTTTAAGGTGAACTATATACTTCAAAAGTAGAAACTTGAAGTCTTACCTTTTTGAAACACACACACACACACACACACACACACACGATCACTCCCAATTAACCAATATTTTTCTAAAATTTTGGTCATCTGTTTGGAACTTGGAATGAATCTCTAGATGGAAACAATGATGTACCTAGTGATTAAGCTCTTAGCTAGCCCACAAAAACTATTATTATGTCTCAAAATATCATGGTACCAATAGTAGTACCAGTAGTATGTAATGCTATAAGCCACTCTATTTAATTTTTTTGTTTTTGAGAAATGTATCCAGAGTTTCAACTTGAGAGACCTGGAATGAACCCTTCTTGCTATTGCTCTGAAAGTAATGTTGCTCTGTAGGACCAGAGGAAGCAGGAATCCCTTAGTTCCTGAGAGAGACTAATACAGTTTAGGTCAAATCCTTCTTTATCCCCACTCCTGGCTCCCACCAGTCTGCTTGCCTTTCCATTGTTATACTTACTATTTCAAAACAGAACGTTATCTATCTCCCTTCCAAATGAAGTCACAGTTTCTCATCTGGTGCGCAAGAGATTTTGGGATTTTTAATAGGATTTATTGAAAATAAGAACCAAACGACAGAAGAGAAACCCTTCCCTACCACCACCATGCACACTCCACACACTTCTGTAAGTGTACTCAGATGACAATGATAGTTTTTTAAACCCACCACTGGACAAAGGTATTTCATTTGCAAATTCAGTGAGCTTCATACATATTTTCTGAGGTTCTCTTAAGTGTGGGATGTCCTGTGAGAGGACTGAGTGGGCCGTGAGGTTGCTCCCTACAGGCTTACACTGGGACTTGAGAAATGACAGGTGGCAGTGGAGAGCAACTCCAAAGGGTTTATTTTCACTTCTTTTCCCTCCTTTCTTGCCCAGACTGGCCCTGCCAACACAGACCTGGGTTACCATGAAGTGAGTTAGGGTGGTGGTGGAGATCCCAGGTCCCAGTGGTGCCTACGATTATAAGATGATAACAGAAGACCTGCTTGTATCTGATGTGTGTATGTCCTATGTTGATGTTGGGTTTATTGTCTTCTAATCTCATGTAGGTGTCTTCTTAGGGACACAGAGTGAGACTGTCTTGTCCTTGAGTCCCGGGATGCGTGGACATTACTGTCAATCACTTGGGAAAGTGGTGATTCTTAGGACCAGGTGGGTTGAGAACCTCTCCTTTCCTCTCCACTTCTCATCTGGACTTGGAGAAATCTAGGCACACTTCGTAGCATTCTGGTGGGCTGGGGTTAGAGATAACCCCTGCCACATGGAACCAGACAGGGAGTCTTCTTAATAGGAGTGTTTGAGCCAAAGATGAGTGAGTTATGTTTATAAACCAGATTATCTAGTTCCATTTTATGACTCTTTCCATTTTTAGCCCTCAAATCCTCAGTGAAAACCTTTTTTAAATGTTCCAATATGATCTCAGGTGTGTGGGGAATTCGGGAAGGAGGTGTCCTTTGGCATAAAGTACGTGGTGGTGATAATAGGGAGAGATCGCCAAGGAGAAGGTGGGGGCATTGTCCCCATGAGGCCTGGTCACTACTGCCCAGTGAAGATTTCATCTCCATTGCTCAGCTAGGAGCATCTAGATTTGATTTTAGTAAAGAAAAAGGCAAGTTCCCTTTTTAAGTGTTAGGGAAAGGAAAACAATGACAGTAACTGGAAAGTAGGAGGCAATACTCATACTTGCTGTGGCCAACCGACCAGCAGAGCCACGTCTAGTTGCCCATTTGTATGCCACCTTGTGTCTAAAACAAGCAACAAAACCTTGACTAAATGTGTGCAGGAAAAAGAATGCATGTTTCAAACATTAGTATAATCAATTAAACTAATTTTATTTCTTTTATTACCATTTTTTCAGATGTGGAGATAAAAATGTAGGGATCAAGAAAATCATTCATTTAATATATTACAGATGTGTTATAACAAGCATCTAGATAGATTACCCCCCCCCAGAGGCTCCACATTTACTCTTAGTTACTGCTCCATGTATCTGCTCACATTTGTAGTAAAATGCCTGAAAATTTGCTGCTGTCCCACCTTACCTTACCTTGTATTCTCCCTGAGACCTTTCCACCCCTCTTGTCAAGGTCACCAGCAACCTCTGTCAAGCCAAGTCCAATGACTGGCCCTGAGTTCATCTTATTGCAGCTCAGTAGTTGACACAGTCGATTACTCCCTCCTTCTAGAAACACTTTCTTCAGTTGGCTCTCCGACCACCGTATATTCCCAGCGTGCCTTCCACCTCTCTGGGTATTCCTTTTCTTTTCAGCCTCTAATGTTACATGTCTCAGGGTCTAACCTCCAACCTATTCTCTTCCCAACAGTCATGACTTTTAGCAGCCCAGTTTCTATCTCTGGCCTTGACTCTTCCCCTCACACATCCGAAATACCCAATTAGCATCTCTACTTATGTAGCTAACAGGTATCAAGCTTCAATGCCTGAAGAGGACTCTGGATGCCCCCTCCTCCCACATGGTTCCTCCCCTACTCTTCCAAATCCCAGTATGAGGCCCCACTCTTTATCCAGCTGCTTCCATCAAAATCGAGGCATTGTGCTTGAGTCTTGCGTCACACGCTACATCTGGTACATCAGCTAGCCAAGTTGGCTCTTCCTTCGTATCCCTAATCTAAACACCAGTTTTTACCAACTCAGTGCTGCAGTTCTAGTATAAGCCACTGTCGGGTTTTCCACCTAGACGACTGCTTCTCAACGGGCCTCCTTGTGTTTGCTCTTCCTCCCCACCCACTCATTTCCCTCACTGCAGTCTTGTGTCTTTTAGAAAGCATGGACTAGTTCATTGTCATTCACCTGCTTACAACTAATGACAGCCTCTCCCACTCAACAAAATCCATACTCCTTTGCATGACCTATGAGGTCCTGTCTGTGTCACGTTTATCTCTTGCCATTGTGCCCATTGCTTAGTTTCATCTAGTTATGCTGACTTTCTTGCTGATCTTCAAACATACCCAAGCTGATTTCCATCTAGGAGCCTCTGCCTGACATGCTTTTTCCCCATATCCAATCAAGACTCCCTCCCTCACTTTCTTTGGTTGTCTGTTCAAACATCACCCCCTCAGAGAGGCCTTCCCTGACTACTCAACCTAAAATAGCACCCTCACATTTGTATTTAATGTCCCCAACTAAAATATAAGTTTCATGAGGGCAGGACCCTTTGTGTCTTACCCATTCTATATTCTCAGTGCTTGGCATATGGGATTTATTGAATGGATGGATGGATGGATGGATAGATGGGTGGGTGGATGAATAGATGGGTGGGTGGATGGATAGATGGGTGGGTGGGTGGGTGGATGGATAGATGGATGGATGGATAGATGGGTGGGTGGATGGATGGATGGATGGATGGATGGATGGATAGATGGGTGGGTGGGTGGGTGGGTGGATGGATGGATGGATGGGCCAGTGGATGAATAGATGGATGGATGGGTAGATGGGTGGGTAGATGGATGGATGGGAGGATATGTTGTAGTCTAGCACTGCACCTAGATTTCTTCATTCCTGATTTTTTTAAAGTGTAATATGAAAGAACTGAGGGATTTCTTCATAGCTTAATTCTACATTTGGTAATGGATTTTTAAACCTTTAAAGATAATACATCCTTAAACCTTTGAATGACAATGCCAGGCATAAGTATTTCATGGAAATGGCTTTCTCTTTGCCGACATATCCTATCTATAGTAACATACTGTTCAAGGGGAAAATGAGTTCTCTACAGCAACTATTGGAAATGAATGTTGAATCATAAATAGAGACTGCCAACTAGAAAATTTTCAGTACTTCTCATTTCATTGACAAAGCATCCAAGTAATAACCTTTATTAAGAGGAGATGTGACCATTGTAACATACATGACTGAATCAGACAGAGGTGTCTGAGAACCACGAGATATGGGATAGCTGAGGCAGTCAAAATATTCACTGTGAGTGGGCGCCTGGGTGGCTCAGTGGGTTAGGCCGCTGCCTTCGGCTCAGGTCATGATCTCAGGGTCCTGGGATCAAGTCCCGCATCGGGCTCTCTGCTCAGTAGGGAGCCTGCTTCTCTCTCTCTCTGCCTGCCTCTCTGTCTACTTGTGATCTCTCTCTGTCAAATAAATAAATAAAATCTTTAAAAAAAATATTCACTGTGAGTTCTGTTTCACCTCTGCTGCTTATTAATTAGGTGACCATGGGCAAGTTATTCAGCTGGTCTGTGCCTCAGTTTCCTCATCTGTAAAATAAGGTTGGTGAAAGTTCCAAAACTTACCTCAGAAATTTGTTCTGAGGATTAAATGAGCTAACTTACATAATATATTTACAACATAGCCTGATGTATAAGTACCATATTTAATGTATTTTTTAACAGTTTTATCATCATCATCATCATCATCATCATCATCATTGGTTCTAGATGTCCATTTCGGAATTTATTCTTTGCAATCCATCCATAAAAATGTTGATAGATCATGATTGTAAATACTTTAGGTTTCTTAAAGTGAAGTCCATAGCTGTTCCCCTTGGAGTATTTAGCTGGATTAGACTGCTCTTTCTGATCTTAAAATACATATTAAAGCCAAAGAAATACTAGTTTTGTAAATCCTTAGATGGCACACCCATACAGCTGGTACCACAAATGATGTCACATTTCAGGAAGATCGGCTAATATATTCCATGGGATCAAAGGTACTGCTTAGGATGAAATGTTTTACTTCTAGTTCCCAGGCTGGTCTTTGATTCAGACCCAAATTAGAGAAAAACCTAGCCTTTCAAACAGGTTTTTGCTGGACCAATTTTGACAGCATTTAATTGACCAGGATTATTTATTACCACATTTAGTAATTTGGGTGAGATTTCTCATTTCTCAAAACAAGTTTTGCTTACACCCTCTCAAAAGAATGTTACTGGTATGTGGGTAGGTTGTCTGGGGCCAGCCTCTTATCTAGAGCCCAGATTCAAAAAGTCTGAGTTCAGCGAAGTGACTTAGACTGGGTGCTTTTGTTTTGTTTTGTTTAATAAGCATGTATGGGTCTTGCTAAAACACGGTGCTACCCCCATCCAAGAACAATGCCTCACACATCATTTCCTGAAATAATAGAGTTGGAAGGCCATTATCTACTCACAAAACAGGCTGAAACAACAGTTCCTGATATTCTTCTCAAATACTTTAACTTCCCAAGGAATCCGGAAAAAATAATTCCATGAGCCGGTGTTGTGAATGAAGGTATGACATTTCAGTTTCCTTCACTGGAATCCAGTGACCAACAGTAATGAATTACTACCCACTTGGCGTTACTAAGAGGGACTCTGGCCGGGTAAGTTGTTTGTCTTTGCTTTGGGAACACTGCTCACCGCCTTACAGCCTCTTGTGAGATGGTGGCCTCGGGTCCTTTTTTGTCCACTTCTGGGAACCATCCCAGAGATTACCTGCAGCTTCTGGAACTCTACTTATTTATGGCATTATTTTTCTTTTACTCCTGAGGAGAATTTGTGGCTTCTGTTTCAGGCTTTCCGATAAGAAATGTATACTTTCTGGAGAGCATGAATATCCATTTCATCAAAACATGTTTTCAAGTAGCATGAGAGCTTTCTTTGAACCCTGTGTACCCTCTATCTTCAGTGCGGCTTGGTAGATATTCATAATAAGAGCTGTCTTCTCTGTGATCTTTAACAATCTGGGCATCACCGAGGTCACCTAATCATGTTCATGGCAAACAAGAGAAACAAAGACTTCTAATATTTAGACATTGCCTTCTGGAAACTCATCTGAAGGAAAACTGGTGCAATAAATGATTTCATCATGGATTTTCTTCTTTTTGTCCTGAGAAGAAATTGGGGACAGTCGCAGACTTTGAGCATATATAGTTTGGACTATGCCAACTAATGTATCTTTGGAAACTTCAGGAAGATTGCCTTTCCGAAATTTCATCCGACCGTTGGACTTTGTTTTGACATATCCTCCCTACGAAGTAAGAGGTATAACATATCGTGTGTAAGTGTCGCAGGCAGTGACATTTAGCAGGATGAAGAGAAACTCGAGAGACACCGTCACATTGCTTAGGGAGGTTGCATAAGCCGTCTCCGGAAGTTTTTCACAGTAGGGTCGACTACTTTCAGTCTGGCTTGTTTAGGTATTCATAAATCTTCTCCCTGTCTGGAAGTGGGTATTGATTTAGTGCCTTCTCATTTAGATACATCAGAATGAAATTGTTGGTCACGTTCTGTGGTGAAATACATAACTTTTAGTAGTGTGAAATTTTGCATTTAAAATTATTTATTTCTGATTGTATTAGAAATTGACCAGTTCTTCGGAAAATAGTAGAAATAGCTCTATTGAGGTTTTCTTCCTTTAGGATGTTCCATTAGCCTGGCCCTGACTTGGCCAACCAATATAGTTGGCAGTCTTCATCCAGCTCCTCCTGATGGCCATATGTCCATATTCGAGAATTCCTTACCACTTGACATTGTCGTTTGACTCCCACTGACCCTTTCCAAGCCAAGAGACTCCAATTGAGAAACTGTAGATGGAAATGGTCAATTTTTTTAATTAAGAAGGGATAGATAAAATTAAGATCATCTAAAGAAGAGTCCATGATAGCAGCCAACAGGAAAAGTAGGGCCTGAGCCATCACACATTACAGGATGGAAAGCAGCCCATGTGCGGTTCTGGGATGGTGGCTAAAGTAGTCTTTCGGGGAGGAAGAGGGCCAGGCATGAGGTCTTGGCACTTTGTTCCTTCTGTGGAGTGTGCCAGGGCCAGGTTTTGGTGGTCCTCAGTCTAATTTAAGAACTGAGAGGGAATGAACTATGTCTGGAGCCTTAAATCAGTTGTCTTTGTTGTTTTGGCTGTGGTCTGTATCAGTGGAATCATTTTTGGCTTCTTATCTTGGCTCACTCCCAGAATGGACTTAACACAATAGTTAGCCAATTCTACAGATTCCAGTTACTTTAATAGTCTTTATAATTACCTCAGAGGGAAATCACCAGCTATGAATATTTAACACATCTATGAAGCACTTAAATCCTAATTACTGTCATACATGTTTAAGGATGGCTGCCATTAATGTTTTCTAGTGCCGACATTTTTTCCTCAGTAATACAGCAATTCTGTAAGGTGCAGTATAGCTTTTCAGACAGCAAGAGTTTCTTGGCCTTCAACAACCAGGTACAGAACAGGCTGTAAGCAAAGAAGGAAAGTGAAATTAGAGTTTGTTCCTCATTTTCAACTTATTGTTACTCAGGCTAAATAAATGGTAAATTACGAATCTGTATTTACTGTAAGACCTTGTCATCAGCATTTTCTAAGATAGAATGCAATTGTTCTAAAGCGAGATCTATTCTAGACTGTATCCAGGGGCTGCATTGCTGGTCCAACCAACATCTACCTGGTTCTTATGATGGATTTTGCAAAGTACAGGGGACATAAATGAAGTTTAAAATGTAGCTACTGCCTATATAATATTTTAGGCAGAGAAGCCAAGGCCAACCTAAATGAAATAGTTGGAACACAATTTAAAGCTCAATTGTAGAACTCTTAGATGGTACAGGAGTAAGAAATCGCTGTAGCCTGAAATAGTTCATTCTTTCTTCCAAGGAAGCTTCATGGGAGAGGCAGAATGAGAAGGATGAGTGGACTATAACTGGACAGAAAAGAAGAGGGACAGAAGCATTTTTTGGAGGCTCTTGACTCTTTGATAGTAACTTCATATACATAATCTCATTGATCCAGCAGGGTGGACATCTGTATCCCTGTTTATACGGGAGAGTATGAAGGACTGGGCGGGGTGAGTAACTGACTCAGGCTTATATAGCTAGTGAGCTGCTGATCAGGGATGGTTAAGACCAGGGGCTCTGAGTTCAGGCAGTTTGGGATTTGAATCTCAGCTCCTCTGCTGACTGGCTGTGCTGAATTTCTTTGTGCTTCAGTTTTTTCACCTACAAACTAGGGGGAAGTAAGAAGAGCTGCCTCTTAGGTTTAATGTAATGAACAAACTATTTAACAAAATGAAGAATTTAGCCATTTCTGAGGTACTGTAACCAATCAATAAATGTTTAAATGTGTGTGTGTATAATTAAATGTTTAAATGTGTGTGTGTGTGTGTGTGTGTGTGTGTGTGTGGAGAGAGAGAGAGAGAGTTTGAGATTCTCGCCTCCATCTTGTCTGACTCCGAAGTCTACGTTCTTGATACTCTATCACCTTGCGGAGGGAGCAGGTAGAAAATTCTGCACAGGATAAGAGCAAGCATTTTATCTGCTAAAGAAAAGTGAAGTCCCCTTCATGCCTGAAGTAGGGTTGGGGTGATGAAGAAGGGATTGGATAAATCATATGGAATATAAGCCCTTAGGAGCTCGAGGCCATAAGGCCCAGGAAATCCAGCTCGTTTAGGATGGAAGAAGGGCATGGGGAGAGTGTTGCTCTGAACAGTGTGTGAGGTAGGGATGGGGGCTGCTGGATGGAAGTCTGCTTGGGAAGTTGGCAAGTAAAGTGTGAGAGGATGCGGTCCTGCATGGGGGAAGTAACAGAAAGCCAAAAGAAAGGGCACATATAGGAGCTGCTGGTCGTGGTGGCACCCCCTCAGTCGGGTGACAGCAGGACTGTGGGGCTCTCGGTGCTGTCCTTGCTGCTCGTGGGCACCGCCCATGACTCATGCCGCCCTGCCAGGGCTTCTCGGCCCTAGACCTTAAACTACCCGAAGCTGCAGTCAACTTTAACCAAAGATGACCCTGTCTCGAGCAAAAGAGAAAAATCAATAATGTTTTATTCTAGATAAATCACAAAATAAAATGAATGAGAGGCGCCCCTGGGTGGCTCAGTCGGTTAAGTGTCTGACTCCTGATTTCAGTTCAGGTCATGATCTCAGGGTCCTGGGATCGAGCCCCATGTCAGGCTCCGAGCTCAGCGGGGAGTCTGCTTGGGATTCTCTCTCTCCCTCTGCCCCTCCGCTAGCTCATGTTCACACTCTCTAAATAAATAAATAGATAAAATCTTTTTTAAAAAATGAATGAGAAAAACAGTTTACTACAGTGTCTCTTAATAGTTCTTTGGCTTCAGCAAGCCTCACATACTGTTTTAATGCCTGCCTATCATTTACTAAAGATTTAGTAAGTCAAATCAACACTTCTCAAGCTGACTTCACATGTTGAATCTCATATCCCATATTTCCTGTTTCTTACATTTCTATCCAGTGACTTATGTCTAGTATAGTAATGCCCAATCTTCTTTCTTACCAATATAGGCTAATGGTTATACCAGCTCTGTTAATAACCGAAGATTTAAAAAAGGGGGGGCATGTATTAGCTGAATGGTCCCTGAACAAATCCTTTGTTAAACCTAAAAGCTATCATCCGTAGCTAATGAAGAATTTAGCCATTTCTGAGGTACTGTAACCAATCAATAAATGTTTAAATGTGTGTGTGTATAATTAAATGTTTAAATGTGTGTGTGTGTGTGTGTGTGTGTGTGTGTGTGGAGAGAGAGAGAGAGAGTTTGAGATTCTCGCCTCCATCTTGTCTGACTCCGAAGTCTACGTTCTTGATACTCTATCACCTTGCGGAGGTACCAAGAACTGAAGTTCAAAGAGAGGCAAAGTAACTTAACTAAAGCTCGTTAATGGCAAACCCAGGACTCAAACTCTGCTGATCTATCAGAGGAGCCTGAGTCTGGCAAATGATGAATAATTATTGTATATTCACCCAGAAGCTGGAATTAACACCTACAAGAATTTTAATAATAAGAAGAATATGATTAATTAGAAAAGAGTTTGTAGAAATGATTAAGAATATGGAATTAGAACCAGGCAGCCCCAGGGTCAAGTCCTGACCTTACTCCTCACCAGCGGAATCAACCTCGTGCATTACTTTATGCCATCAGCCTCAGCTTCCCTCATCTGAGTCCTACAAGGGTTAGATGGGTAATATTTGCTTAAAACAATATTTGGCACATAAGTGGCGCTTGGGTGGCCCCGTCGGTTAAGTGTCTGACTCCTGGTTTTGGCTCAGGTCAGGATCTCAGGGTCGTGGGATCAAGCCCCACGTTGGGCTCTACGCTAGCATGGAGTCTGCTTACAATCCTCTCTCTCTCTGCCTCCCCCTTCCCCGATAAATAATAAAATAAATCTTTAAAAAAAAAAACCACTTTAACAATGCTCGGTAGATGTTTCTTTTGTTTGTTTGTTTGTTTTGTCTTTGCTCAGTAAATGTTAGTACTTAATGTGGATCCCACATTATTCTTTATGGAAAAAGCCTTGCTCCGCTATTTGTTTTATTTGAAACTGTCAGTCCTGTGCAGTAGCAGGAAAGGTGTTGCTGTTCTCCTGTGATACCAAGAACTGAAGTTCAAAGAGAGGCAAAGTAACTAAAGCTCGTTAATGGCAAACCCAGGACTCAAACTCTGGTGCTCTCTCCTCTGGGTTTTTCAGCGATCCAAGGAGCCCTGGTTTTCACGGATTAAAGAGCTAGTCCCTGATAGCAGCAGTTTCCAACCAGTCCAGGGGCAGTGAGAACACGTGACAGTGGTTTTCCTGTCCGCACCATTCGGATTCTTGGGCCGGATGATTGAAATGAGAAAATGAGGGTCAGTGTAGGGAGTTTTAAACAGAGTTAATTGTACTCAACTTCAAGGACTCTGTCTTTTACTCTAAGGCTACATCTTTCCTACTTTTCGATGTTAAAATATTCTTACAAAACGGTGGCCAAATGTTCGTTATTTTTTTGTTAACCTTTCTGTCCGATGTCACAGAACTTAGACAAAACCACCTTGGTCCACAAATTTTGTTTTTGAAATGTTTTCTAATATGTGGGATTTAAGAAAAAACAGATGAACATAGG